ATTACGTATTGCTTGTTGACCCTCACTGTGGCACTGTTGACCCTCACTGTGGCACTGTTGGCCCTCACTGCAGCACTGTTGGCCCTCCACTGTGGCAATTGTTGGCCCTCACTGTGGCACTGTTGACCTCACTGTGGCAATTGCTTGGCCTCACTGTACACTGTTGACCCTCACTGTGGCACTGTTGACCCTCACTGTGGCACTGTTAGACTCACTGTGGCACTGTTGGCTCTCACTGTGGTACTGTTAACTCTCACTGTGGCACTGTTGGACCTCACTGTGGCACTGTTGGACCTCACTGTGGCACTGTTGGCCTCACTGTGGCACTGTTGGCCCTCACTGTGGCACTGTTGGCCCTCACCAGCAATTGCTGCCCTCACTGTGGGCACTGCTGACCTCACTGTGGCACTGTTGGCCCTCACTGTGGCACTGCTTGACCACTGTGGCACTGTTGACCTCACTGTGGCAACTGCTACCTCACTGTGGCACTGCTGACCTCACTGTGCACTGTTGGCTCACTGTGGCACTGTTGGCCTCACTGCACTGTTGACCTCACTGTGGCAACTGCTGACCCTCACTAGGCACTGTTGGCCTCACTGTGGCACTGTTGGCCCCTCACTGTGGCACTGTTGACCCTCACTGTGGCACTGTTGACCTCACTGTGGCACTGTTGGCCCCTCACTGTGGCACTGCTTGACCTCACTGTGGCACTGTTGACCCCTCACTGTGAATTGGGTTATCCTCACTGTGGCACTGCTTGACCTCACTGTGGCACTGTTGACCCTCACTGTAACTGTTGGCCCTCACTGTAAGGCACTGTTGACCTCACCAAGTCACCACTGGCCTATACCTCTGTTGCAGATAGGTAAACAGACACCATCCCTGCATGCCTCTCATCCTGCCACTGCATGCCTCTCATCCTGCCCCTGGCATGCCCTCTCATCCACCCTGGCATGCCTCTCATCTACCCTCGCATGCCCCTCATCCTGCCCTGGCAGCTCTCATCTACCCCTGGCATGCCTCCACCTGCCCTGGCATGCCCTCACTACCCTCGCATGCCTCTCATCCTGCCCTGCATGCCTCTCATCTACCCTGGCATTTCCTCATTCACCCCAAGCATGCCTCTCATCCTGCCCCTGCATGCCTCATCTACCCCTGGCATGCCTCCTCATCCTGCCCTGGCATGCCTCCTCATCTACCCCTCATGCCTCATCCTGCCCTGCATACTCTTCTCGCATGCCTCTCATCTACCCTGGCATGCCCCATCCTGCCCTGGCATGCCTCCTCATCCTGCCCCTGGCATGCTCCTCATCACCCCGCATGCCTCTATCCACCCCTGCATGCCCTCATCTACCCTGGCATGCCTCCATCCACCCTCATGCCTCTCATCCTGCCCTGCATGCCTCTCATCTACCCCCGCATGCCTCATCCACCCTGGCATGCCCCATCTCCCTCGCATGCCTCATCCTGCCCTCGCATGCCTCTCATCCACCCGGCATGCCCCCATCTAACCTCGCATGCCTCCTCATCTATCCTGCATGCCTCTCTCTACCCCTGCTCCTGGCATGCCTCTCATCTACCCTAGCATGCCTTTCATCCTGCCCCGGCATTACTCCTTTGACCTTTTTCAATGTTTATATGACCCTCAAGCACAGGTTTAATCCCAGGTTAGGTTATTAATACCACGAATAATTAGTCAATTATCCAAGCGATTATCCGAGAGTTTTAGGGTTAGGTTAGGTTAGGTTAGGTTAGGTTAGGTTAGGTTAGGTTAGATTAGGTTAGGTTAATACTATGAAAAATTTGTCTCATTATCCAAACGATCATCGTACAGTTGAGAATAATTATTAAACTTTGAGAGACGGATAATAATCGTCGTTCAGTCTTGAGATGAATTACTATCAGGATTATTAACCAACCTTCACCTCTTCCTCCCCCTCACCCTCTTACAACTTTTATCATTCCTTCTCTCTCCTCTTCCTCACCCTCCCTCCTAAATAGAGATAGATAGATTGAAAAGGGAGAGAGAGAGAGAGAGAGAGAGAGAGAGAGAGAGAGAGAGAGAGAGAGAGAGAGTCATATAAAAAACAAACATACCCCAACAACGCCCCCATACAAACACACACACACACCAAACCCCCAAAACTAGACCCCTAAATTTCACTTCACCAGAGACGATATCAATGTGAGCCAGCAGCACTTGACCCCGGGGATATCGAGTGCTCTCAAACACACCACCACGAGCCGTCATACCCGTCAGCCATCTCCATTGTTGTAACATTTGTCTTACTCTGCCACCACTACACTCTCCCGACGTACCTGAGATTGAGAGAGGGGAGATAGAGAGGGGGGGATTGAGAGGAGAGAGAGGGGAGGGAAGATGATTGAGAGAGAGACGGACAGATTGAGAGAGAGAAAGTGTGTGTGTATCTGAACTGAATGGCTGATCAAACAACGTCATTTTTTCGAGGACTGAGAAGAGGAATTCGTGGGTAATGGTTCAAGTGACAGCGATAAGACTCCTGAACTGTATTGAAAAGCTGAGCAAATAATAAGTGTTTAAGAGGTTTAGCGAGGAGGAGGAAGTGTTTGGGATTCACGTATAGGATTCTTGTTTAGAGGATTGGATTCAGCTATAGAGGATTGATTCAGGTATAGAGGATTGGATTCTATTGAAGAGGATTGGATTCTGGTATAGGAGATTGGATTCTATTGAAGAGGATTCGATTCGATCTGATTTGAATAGCTGATCAACTGTTTTGGTTGGAGATTGGAATTTTTTTAAATTCCACGTTTTAATTTTACCCTCCTCTTCCCCAGTATCACCCTCTTCCTCACCTCCCCTCCTCTTCCTCCTTCCCTGACATCTCCTCCCCATCACCTCCTTCTGCTCTCTCTCTTCTCCATCACCTCCTCCTCCATCTCCTTCCCTACCTCTTCCCTTGACCTCATTCCGTCTCAACTTCCATGACTGAGCGTAAACCACGACAACTGGAGCGACGAGAGAGAGAGAAAAAGAGAGAGAGAGAGAGAGAGAGAGAGAGATTAGTTACAGGCTATAAGCAAATCGATGGTATGATAGTGTATGTATGTATGTGATGTATGTATGTATGTATGTATGTATGTATGTATGTATGTATGTATGTATAGATGACAAGAACTTCAACGCAACAGTAAACAAAATCAAAGGAGAATTTCAACGCCTCGTAAGTAGTAGTTCAAGATATATATTAAGATCACTACTTATTTGGCGTTCAAATTTTCCGGTGTGTGTGTGTGTGTGTGTGTGTGTGTGTGTGTGTGTGTGTGTGTGTGTGTGTGTGTGTGTGTGTGTGTGTGTGTGTGTGTGATGGTCCACTTCCCACACCGGAAATTAAGTAGTGTAGGTCTTGCCCGCGCGGAAATGTCTCGAAAATCTCCAGAAACGAACTAATTTTCTCCTCAGAGCAAGTCATTAAGAGAGGGAGGGAGGAGGGTCGTATAAAGGAAAGTTGGAAGGATAGAGGGAGGAAGAGAATTAGAAGAGGAAGGAAGAAAGTAGTTTGAGTTTTGAAGGAAGGAAGGAGGGAAGGAGGGTACATTATATGACCAGTAGAGTGAACACGCGTGCGCTGGAGGGGTGGCCACTATCACCGCTGTGGCCACTATCACCGCTGTGGCCACTATCACCGCTGTCCAGGATCACCGCTGTCCAGACTACTGCCAGGCCAGGATCACCGCTGTGGCCAGGATCACCGCTGGGGCCAGGATCACCGCTGTGGCCAGGATCACTGGCCAGCCAGGATCACCGCTGTGGCGAGGATCACCGCTGTGGCCAGGATAAAGGTGCGCAGGATTCCAGCTAATTGAGGCCATTGTGGTGGATGGTAGCGCGGCGGCGGCGGCCAGAGGTGATGCTGAGGGCGCGGCCAGGAGCCCCGCCCACTTCACCTGCCCAGGTATAAAGTGGGACATCCGCGCCGCCCCCGCCAGTTCATACCCAACCTTTGACCCACATCAGGTCTCTGTGAGTCGTGTGAGACGTCTGCCCTCCGTGTTGTGAGTCGAGGATTGTGAGGTTTGAGAGTGACTTAACACAGTCGTCAAGCCGTGAGCGAGATGGACGGCGCTGGTTTGGTACCAGCAGATGGTGCACGCCTTTACCGACGCCTACACCACCGCCCTCTACACCGCCCGCCCGCCCACGCCCGACAGTGATTACGGCTCTGAGTCCCGCTTCAACGCCGCCTCAAAGTCCCACTCGACTGTGTCCCTCCACCACGGCGACCTCCACTCAACCCCAGCGACGCGTGGCTGTTCACCATGGCCACCACACAGCAGAACACCCCACCTTCTCCACTACCAGGACTACGCCCAGCTGTACTCTGTAGCAGGAACACCCGGGCTCTTCACCACAGACTACCCCAACCAAGACCTCCATCAGCCGCGGACCACCACCACCACTCCCAGCACCCCATCAAGAGCGACACCTACAGAGTAACTAACCACTAGACGGGGAAGAACCCTCCTCCACCAAGCCATCTGCCTCACCTCTCCGTGTCCATAGAAAACAAACGGGAGCAACAGAGACTAGGAGGATCCACTGTGCCCCAGAACACGTAATGTCGCTCCCCCACGTGGCAGCAGTCGTTGTGGCGTCCGGAAGCAGCGAACGGGACGGAAGTGACTGACGGCGTGAGGAAGAAGAGGAGACTCGCAGCCAACGCCAGGGAACGACGCAGGATGGATAATCTCAACAGCTTGATCGTCTGCGGTCAGTTCCCCCGCAGCTGTGTGATGACCGCAAGTTGTCCAAGTATGACACTTTACAGATGGCTCAGACATACATCACTACGCTGGCAGACTTATTAATATAGTCTCTACCCCGCGCTCGCACTGGGATTGACAACGTAGCCTCTATGTAGCCTGACAAAGACTACGTAGCCGGGCGTGGCAAAAGACTATCTACGTAGCCTGTGTATGTGGCCTGTCAAAGACTACCCATGTAGCCTGTGTCCGTGGCCTGCAAAAGACTACCCACGTAGCCTGTGTCTGTAGCCTGTTCAAAGACTACCCACGACGTAGCCTGTGTCCGTGGCCCTACCCAAGGATACTGCAGTTATTCCTTTTAGCCGGTCCTACCATGCTGAGGACTCCCGCTAAGGATATTTGTAGTCTCTGAGGATGTCCTGAAGAAACTCGCAGCTGAGGAACCTACTGAGGGAGAAGAGGAGAGAGAGAGAACCGAGTGATCTCATCTTGTGCGTCACGGCTTTTTGGTGAAACGAATTGGTGATTGTTGTATGGTGTAAGGCGTGTGGTGATTCTTTAAGGACAAGAACCTGGTGATTCTCTAAGGACAAGAACTTGGTGATTCTATAAAGACATTAACCTGGTGATTCTCAAGACGGACGGTACGGGACGGAAGGTGTTTGGTGAGACGGGCGCCCTAGGGAGGGAATACCTGGTGACTGCTCAAGAGGTTTACTCCGCCACGCGCCAAAAAACTCCCGAAGCGCGTGTCGGAACCATAAATAAGGGGTCGTGCACCACGGATGGAGCAGCAACCACCACTGTACGACTCTACAGTATGTCGCACGACCACCTGTTACGTCGCACAACCCCCTCCCCCCCAAAAAAATACGTCGTACGATTCTCCTATGTGTAATACTTTGATCTCTGCGTCTCGGTTGTGTCAAGTACGACTCTCCGATGACCACCACCATCACGCTTACTACAAAGAAACACTCTGACGTCTCAACTTCATACCCAGAGTGGACACGAGGACAGAGTGCGGGTGTGTCACAAGGAAAACAAACAAATTAAATAAACTTGCCCACAAAATTACCTTCTCGGACCCACCAACCAAATGAACTTAGAAATATAACAAAATTCCCCCTACAATTTACGTTGTGGCGCCTACAGCCTTAAATAAACTTGACATTATAATTTAAATTATACAAAATGAGGGATAATATTTCTGTATAAACATCTATGTTGTGAATATTTTCAAGATGTTGTGAATGTGTTGTGAGGAGTTGTTTTATACATCTGGTCTTGTACAAATACTCAATTTTATTGTGTGTCGTAAATATTGTTTCATGCCAATGTGTCCCAAGTTTATTCTAGTGCGATTTATTTTATTTTTTTTGTCTCTCACTGTTCAATAATGTTTAAGTTTTTCCTTCAGTTTCTTTCATTCAGTTCAATATTGTTCATTATTATGTTTTTATATTTGTTTTAATTTATTTCGATAAGTTCAATAATATAAGTTTTTATTTGATTTTTGTCAATCTATTTCAATCAGTTCAGTATTGTTACATTTATTTCAATTTACTTCAATCATTTCAATAATGTTCAATTCCTATGTAATTTCCATCAATTTCTTTCATCTGTGGTTGAAAGAGGTGCCAAATCAACTCCTCCCCCCTCCTTCCTCTCTCCTCTCCCCTCCCCTCACCCCATCCATCCTCCCCCCCATCATCCCATCCACCCTCCTCCTCACCCCATCCACCCTCCCCTCACCCCATCCACCTCCCCATCCACTCTCCCCCACCCACCGATGTCTGTTTGTTTGTTAATACCATTGTTTGTGTCGTGGTTGAT